AACTAATAAGGATTCTCTTCGCTGGGGCTGAAGAACTAATAGCTAAAATTATAGTAAGCAGGGAAGTCCCTGGCTAGTAAAACCACAAAGTTGTGTAGTATTCCACATGTGAATCAACATGCAGACAAAAGAAATTGTAATTGAGGAAATAATAAGAAGCAGTCATACATGTAGTTTTAGAAATGGGGGAAAACCCCAGAGGAATGTTCTGGGTAAAACCCACAGCATCAGGTAGGGACTAAAAACCCAATCCACATTTTACTGAGCTGGGAATCGAACCCGGACCGCAAAAACATGTTTCTTGGGTTATTCACAATGTCAGATGTGTTTTCCATGGAGAGGGCATAAATCTGGACAGTCGTTGATGTGATCAGCTGCCATTCGTCAACCATTCACTAGCCTTTATCCTATTTCAAATCCAAGTGATGTTTCACTTTTTCAAAGTCAACTCTTGTTGTCAGCTAACGTATGGTGACACATCAAATGTACATGCGCATAACGGTACACGTATATTTAAAAATATGCCTCAGACTTAATTTTGGTGACGTGGGTTTCCTTTGACACTGAAAATTACTTATAGATTATACCGTAACGGTATATTTTTGGTGTCTTTTTATGTTCAGCTGGGGTCACAACGGCTACTGCCAGCTGGGTAACGGTACCACCAGCCAGAGTCCTGAGAGGATGGCTCCATGTCTAATATCCAGCAGCCTGGGAGGCTGTATGATCACACAAGTGGCCTGTGGCAGCCACCATACCTTGGTCCTGACAGACAATGGCGAGGTACGTTGTAGGAAATGAAAGGCTTGAAAATTGGACCAAACCCTAACGTCATCATTGTTGTCAAGTGCTTCACATATAGTCGAAGTATTTTTCATGAGTTACTCTAACACTTTCAGAAGTATATGTACTTTCTCTGCTAACAGTGGAAGAATGACACAAATATTTTTTACAGCTCATGTAGCTGAGGAGCATATTCACTGTTCACAATGAAAGTAAGGAAACTTATGACCATGGTGATTTATGTGCAAATAATTTAAGAGTATTTGTGAAGTACTCGACTTCAACACTAGAACTTTAATTGCCAGGAGCAAGTTTGATCTAGGACCAATTTGCAATTGGTTGATTTCAGCAGATGACCGATTACCTTGGACTTAGTTGTTCCATATATGTCTGCTGGGAGATCTGATTTGCAGTTTAAAGTAAGTTTTTTTTGTGTGTTATTGGCTTTGTTGACAGGTATTTGCTTGGGGCTACAACAACTGTGGTCAGGTTGGGTCGGGCGCGACGGCAAATATCAACACTCCAAGGAAAGTTTCCTCATTGCTCAGTAAGAAAGGTGTCATTCTATTTTACCTTGGTCATCAGAATTTTGATGCAATTTTGTCAACTGCCCCAGGGGATGCGTACAATGTGCAAGCAGCTCATTTCTGCCCAATGCATATACATATAACTGTCAGCCGCAATGAAATCACACTATGAACATCTAACAACAGAAGCATGGCGCAATAATAATGGACGCTCATTGTCAGTGCACTGTGTTTCTTTTGTTAGATGTTCGTAGTGTCAAGGCAATTTTCAGTGGGCGCCCAGCATCAATAACCAGTTGGCCTGCAGAAAACCATTCAGAAAGAAAAGACTGCAAAAGGCCCTTGTAACAGGATCAGAAAGCCTACACCAGACAAACCCAGTCTGTGTGCCTAAATGGTGGAGGTTTACTTCAGAAGCAAAATATATTGTCTACCCTGACGTGCTAAAGCTATACAAGCATACTTTTGATATAAACAACTGCATTTAAGTATTGGTTTATAATTTTTTTTGAAGTTGGGAAGCGTGTCATGGCAGTAGCCTGTGGCCAGACGTCATCTCTCGCACTGATTGACAATGGCGAGGTAAGCAATGGTGTCAAAGTGAGGCATGTTTGAGCGATGACTATGGTTTACTATAGTTCAACTGACACTGCCCGAATAATGGATGGTTTTGAAATATCTAGTCGACCATTTGGGACCAGGCCCAGGGGGTGGTCGCGCCGCTGATTATCGATAGCCAATTTCATTTATCATTACAGTGGGAATCATTCACATGAAAATGACTGTACGAGATCTCATTGACCATCGACGCTGCGAGAATCGCAGCCAATGGTGAAATGTTAGTAACAAAAAGTGACCAACTAGTGTCGTTCGAGTGTAGCTGAATTGCACATGCGCTTTGCTAAAAAGCAGTTGACTACTAGTCAAGCTGCACTTCATGCCCAAACTTCCCTGTAGCAGACACAGTGGGCAGTGATAAAAAGATGTATGCATGATGTCATGAATATGATACAGCCACAGGAAACTGTGAACAACGAGGCCTTGCTCAGATTGCCTTCAGTTTATTAGATTTTACCAGCTTTTGCTCACCGGTATGTCTGCACACAGGTTTACGGCTGGGGTTATAACGGCAACGGTCAACTAGGTCTGGGAAATAACGTCAACCAGCCCAGTCCCTGCAGGGTCTCCAGCCTGTCCGGGGTGGTTATATCACAGGTATGATGCAGTTTGTGTTTACATAGACTTGGGCGTATCTTTGGATTGCCAAAAGCAAATAAAATGAAATGGTGTTTTAATGTCTAATTTTTATTCTGTTTTCAAACGTTAATTATACACGGGTGTATCTGTTATTGAAAACTCGTCGTCATTCATAAACATCTATGTATGCCCACTCCATCCTGTAATTGGCGATGTGGTCACTGTTGGGAGTAATTGTTGAAATAAATGACTAAATTAAGTAATTAATGAAATAAAGTGCACCTTTAAGCCAGGGATGTCTTCTCTAACACCATAAAGACCACTCTGAAGAGCTTTGAAGCTTTTCATGGTGAAAGTGGCAAGTTAAGTAAAAGGATTGTGGTAGCATGATTTAAAATAGTGCTACCGTAAACCTTAAAACAACCACTCAGTTGATGTGCTATGTTCAAAGTGGACACCCTCTGCTTGCACAGGTTTCTTTGGACACACCACAGTAAGGTCAAACCCACCTGACTGAGCTTATGGTTGCTCCTAAGCTTCCAAGAAACACTGAGAGTACACTTTGTATAAATTTGTTGGAAAAATCCTAGTGGCCAGCATCTCAGTTTTGCTGCTGGTGAGATCTCTGTCTGTAACTTACATGTACCCGTATTTCCAATTTGTCTTCTCTGCCCAGATAACGTGTGGCTATGCCCACTCTATGGCTCTCTCTGATGAGGGCGTGTTGTATTCATGGGGTGCCAATTCCTACGGCCAGTTGGGGACCGGCAATAAAGCTAACCTGGTCACAGGCACCAGAGTAGGAACGGATATAGGAAGGTACGTATAATATGCCCGCTGTAAAGAGGAAATCCCGAATCGTTTGTGTGAGTGCTTCAAAATGATCCTGGATCAAGTTTTGAAGGGAAAATTACCTGTTTTCTTTAAACTTCGCAACCAAAGGCAACATAAACATATATGTGACCAGCTCTAGCAAGATGGGTAATAAGTCGCCAGATTCAGTTTATGAGTTTTTGATATGGCTGGATTCTGTACATCAAAAGCTACAATTTGATTTATGAATGACCCCTGTAGTCCACATTTTCGGATTCAATAAAAGCACTTTTTGAGAAAAAAAACTCCTGAAGTGTAGCACTTGGAAACACAATGCTATGTAGGATTGCCTACAATCAATTTTTAATCTTTACTCTTCATTATCCATATTTGTAGTCACAGATTCTGAACATACAAAAATAAAGAAATATTATAGAAGCTATCCAAGAAAAAAACACAAAATCATGTTTTCAAAGAATTTATGCCCTCTCTCCAGGTAGAACAGACCATTACGTGTTTTAGCATTGCGCAACCTATTACCCTTTTTTGCAGAGCGGGTCACATATACTGTGTTGAACTGCACAGTCCTGAAAGTGTTGTCCTGCGGTCTGCATCTACAGCTAAGCTGGCAACTTGTTGCATTTCATACACTGTAGATTTTGTATCATGTCTATGCAGTGTGGAGAGCCTAAGAAGAATGATGGGGCTGGGATGGATCAGAGGCGATAAAGATTTCACCCCCCATCTTCCACATCCATGTTCTGTGCATTTTCTCAGCCAAATCAGTGCGCAGTTTTCCAAACGTTGAGGTCCCCGTCTAGATTTCTTTTGCACTCATGCACACTACTTTATTTGTTCAAGGTTCGTAGAGATAGGCGCCACGCACTATTCGCACATCTCGGCGGCCATGCTGCAGTCGGGCAAGGTCTACATGTGGGGCCAGTGCAGGGGTCAATCGGTGACCTCGCCGATGGCCACCAAGTTCACCTGCCTGGATGACGTCTTTGCCTGCTTCTCATCGCCGGCTGTCACCTGGAGGCCCCTCCGATTCGGTAAGCTTCGGTTCATCCAAAAAACAAAATGGCTGACCTTGATTACAAAACCTAAAGAAAAAATATTAAAGTGTGAAATATCATACATAACTGTGAAAACACTATGAATAGAATGCTTCTAAATACTGAGAGGAACTGCGTCTCTTGTTAATGCCAATGAAGCAAAAAATGAGCTTTTGGGGGCAAAATTGTTGCCCACCATGCTAGAAGTGAACTTTCTGCAAACTCTGACTGCTCATACAAAATTCGGAGTCAATTCCCTGTGGTTTTAAACAAAATAAAGGTCAGTGTGCAGACCTTATTTTTTCCAAGAGAACTGTTGGCTGCACTGAGTGATTAATTTGTGAGTTTGTGAATAATACTGGGCACAATACGTGGATGCCCTGGTTTGTGTTTGTGCATGGCACCTAACTAATTTTCAGCCGAATGTGCACACCAACATGCCCCGCCATGGCACGTAGATCTTTACATGGCAGAGATGCTGCTCGAGTTTCTGCGCTTTACTAGCAATCACATTTTGCATGGTTTTGCCTCATAAAAGTGCAAACTTAAACAGTCATTAGACTCATTACACAGTTCCAGCCATGGTTTGCTATCATTTCTTTAAAATGTAATTTTTGTTTGGTCTTATTAACAATAGTGAAGAAACATCCACCTTTTTTCCTTTTTGTATAAAAGTTTGTAGTGTTACAGATGTATTTGAATATGTAGTCATATTGTATGCTTCTTATCTTGGCCCGTGAAAACTTTTCCATCTCTGTGGCATTCTTTTAAGCATTTAGCTTATGGTACAGTACATGTTGACAGCGGCTTTTGTTTTGACTCTGTAGAAACATTTGTGGGAAGGAGGGCCTTGGAAGATTGTTTGAAGAATTCATTTGATAATCAGGTGAGGATCAGAAAACCCAATACACAAAAAACTGTTATGAGGCCATTTTAGCGAATAAATTGTACAACAAGTAGACCTTTGTGCAGAAATTCTCTAAAGTGCATGCAAACTATATTGCCACTCTAACCTATAAGAGCCGGCCTAAGAGACGTTGATGACCTTTTGAGCAGGAATCTACTGATGATTAGTCAATAGATGTCAGCTGACCATACTTCGTCAAGAGCCCAGACCAGCTGATTAGGTTTAAATGACCTCCATGGAGAGCGTAACTAAGAGTGCTTGATGATACCTGGCAAATGGGCTTCACAAACAGCAAATTAAACACTCTTGACTACAGACTAACTTCAGCCCAAGTGTCCATAGGTCTAACAAGACTGCACCGTCGGGTGTGTGAACGGGGCCGGGGATCAATTTCTCGAATACCACATTTTTCTGTTTTTCTTTACGTCATCAAGCTTACCGTTTGGTCAAAATCGATGGGTCATGCATGGACATTACTGACACTCAGCTGCAAGGGATTGTCGACGACACAGACTATTGACAAAAAGTTTCCCAGGGGAAAAAACTTAAAAAAAAAAAAAATCTACATGTATATGCCGTTTTGTGAAAGCGAAAACTCTGCCCTCATTTCATTTCCTTTGATGCAAGCCGATGTCTAAATCTTAGTGTCCTTTTCACGATGCATTTTTACTTGTAGGAATCCTCTGACTTGACTATCTCACTGGAAGGCAAGAATATTCATGTACATAAAGCTATTCTAAAAATCAGGTGGGTGAATAAGTATGTAATTCAGCTTCCTCATTTTCCCTTTGCCCAAATGCTTATTTCATAACAGCCTGGTAAATGGGTCATTGTAAAAATTTGAGGTCCAATTTTTTTCCTGTCTCTGTTATGTCCGGCATATGATTTTTGATGTTTAGAACTCGTTATTTAATTTCAAGATTGAATAAGTAGTGCAAATTACTTGCCAGACAAATTCAAAATAGTTTGTAATCAATTTCAGTGATACATGTACATCCCTTGTCAAACTTGTCAGATGGTATACATGTCAGAGGTAAACAGGGACAGAAAAATGTCACTTTTTGGACCCCAAATTTATAGAATGACCCAAATTGTAATTCTATTCTTTGGGATCTCTGTTTTTAGGCAGTGAAGTCTTCACTGCTTCACCTTAAATACATGTAACATGGTTCCAAATAGACAGTTTTTCAAAGTTGGGTTTGGATTTTTTGTAGATCATTCTCCAAACCGGGGCCTTTTTTTTTTTTAGGTACATGCATCTGCCTTGCCTCCAGCTCCAGAAATCCTTCCAAATGTTTGCTATTACAGTCCACTGAAATATGCTCCAGACTGTGGTCCTGCCTCAGATATAACTTGAAACTGTGAAGTTCAGCAACCCTAGATGGTCTCAACTTGATGGGCTAATGTCACGAGGCCGAAGTGGGAAGCCGTAATAAATCTTGGTGTTATGTGAAGTGACGCCCTTGCCTAAAGTTTGGTACAATCGGCTGCTGACTTTGCAGTTAAGCATTTGCCTGTGGTATTACCTGCAGTTTGCTCAAAAACCTGACTCTGAAAAAGGCCTGAAATATTGGCATATTTTTAAATACAGCCGAACAACATAAATATTGACTCTTGAAACTTATTGGCACAGTATTTGAGTGGTATTTCTCTCCTTGATCTCATAATTTGTGTCTCTCCGAGGCCCTGTCATCACAGAGTGGTACTTGCTTTAATGTAAACTGTGCACCAAGTTGGAGTGTCTTTACAGACTTCCTGCACATTGCTCATGTTCATGTGTATTTACAAACCTAATGAGGAATTTGGTGTAAACACGCATTGTCCGTTGGAGGCTCGGGGAAAGAGTTGATATTTTAAACCATCAGCATGCATCTATGACTATATGTTGTTTGATCCAATTTAAACTGTCTTTGACATACATGGCTTGCTAACCATGAAGTAAACTTTTACTTTGGATGGAAGGTCTGTTTGTTTTCAAATATCTAGCAAAGTTTCGGTCCCCACGCCAGTGTACTAAATGAAACAGAGACTTTGGGCCTGTTTGTTTGACACAGATCCTTATCTTGATCAGTGATCCAACAGGTGGTTTGCTCCATCTTCTGGTGTGAGTGAACCAGGAGCAGATTACCGATCGCAACCCAGATCCGTGCACAACAAACAGGCTCTCAAATTCAAATATCCTGATCGGAAGATGTGTCACCTGGACAGATTCAATTTGACTCGGTTTGTCTGACTCGGTGTTTTCCCCCGCAGGTGCGAGCACTTCCGCAGCATGTTCCAATCTCACTGGGAGGAAGACGGAAAAGAGTGAGTCATGAATGGTGGTGATGTTTGCTTAAAGTAGTGATAATTGGAGGAAAAAATAGGAAAGCAGGGAAAATGAGATATCACACTTTCTTTAAATTTAGGACTGAGTGCAGGTTTGTTGACGCTTCAGGCAGTGATGTGTAGAGTACGGAAAGGAATATGTCACATGCGCAATTGTGTGTGTAAAAAGGAACTAGCACGAGAACGAGCTTGTAAACCAACACATGCGCATGTACCATTTGCACTTCTTTTCCTGTTTCAAAATGACATGACACTTGGGTTCTCTACAGAGGGCATGTGTAACATCCGCATTATAAATTAGTCAGCAAAATACTTTAATTCTCAGTGGTGAGAAATGAAGTAGCTAGAGTCGAAAATTGAAACAACAAAAACCAAAGAAATCACAGATCAGAAACAATTTAGTCATCGTTTGAAATGTATATTTACCCAAACTGGGTATATCCACAATGTCTTAAAACAGTTGGTGCGAGGACGCTATGTCCAAAAACTTCAGCGGGGCCTGTGGAAAAGGCTCTGCCCTAATTATCTGGGGTGAAGTCTGGTCCTTTGCCCCTGACTTGAATATTTGGCAGGCCAGTAGCTCAGATTGCTGGCACTAGGCAACTCAGTGTACAACGGTTTTTATGAAGCCAGTCCTTTGCTCCCCCAACCAAATTTTCAGTGGAACAGAAAGTATGGTCAAGCACATGTGCACGCCAGAAGCATGAATGAAGTCTTTTTGGTTGCTATAGGTACCAGTTAAATACCTTTACAGAGCAAGGCTGCTTTGCCATGGGCCTTGAGCTGGACCTAGAGAGGGCGCTGTTTTCTTAGCAACAGAGGCTCCTTTGGTCGGAAATGAACTTAGTAAATGCATTGCATCACGGTCGCACCACTGCCGCCAAATTGAGCACTCCCGATCAATGCAGTTCTTTTTCAACCGATGAGTGGGTGCTTCTGCTCGAGGCGGTTAGTGTTTTTGTCTGCGAATCAAGAGACAGAATTTGAGGATAAAGCCGTTATAAATCTTTTCTGTGATCTCATTTCCAGTGTTATACAAATCACGCAATACTCCTATCCAGTCTATCGAGCATTCCTGGAATATCTCTACACTGACACGGTCTCAGTCAATCCTGAAGATGCAATAGGTAAGACAGTTGCCCATTCCAAATTAACACGTACTTCAGTATCGTTGTGGTGTAGGGAGATCAAGGGATAGAGGGATGGGATATCGCTCACTCTGAACTGCAATGCCCCAGGGCACCATCACCCAGGTGCTAATTGGGGGAGCAGTCTTCACTGGTCTCTAGTGTCTTTCATGAGATACCAGCCAGCATGGGCCTTCAACCCACCATCAGCGAGGCATTACCACCAATGGTTACCACCAATCTCAATGCCATCTCTGTGATAGCCAGCATGCCTGCTTGTTTGTGACTCAGTCAAACTCTTGACAAAAGGAGACATTACATCGCTGACACCTGGGGTGCATTCAATACTGCCGTACATGTTTTCATACTTGTATGTATACCCTGTGTTGCTGATGGTATTGTTATTTACATCTGGTTATGACACCAAGGATTCCTCAAAAGTGCCCTAGGCACTGTAGCTCCCAAGCCTGAAGAAACCTAGTGGAGAGGAGACAATGAGAAGCAGTCACAGTTTTAGAGGTGGGAGGGAAACCCCTAGGGAATATACTGGGTAAACTCCGCGGAATCAGGTAGGGACTGAGAGCCCAATCCCCATGTGGACCGAGCCCAGAATCAAGCCCAGAGGGCAGAGGTGGAAGGTGGGGAAAGAACCACTGTGCCAATCTGACTCCCGGTATACATGGACATGTATGTACTTGTATACTGTATACATGGGCATAGTTCGGTGCTACTAATTGTGCCCCGGGTCTCAGTCAATGATGATTCCCTTGTGCAGGATTTTATCTGAAGTGTTTAATACAGTACGTGCATAATTCCCCGTCATTTGACTGGTGGGTGGTTGATAATGTGTCATTAAAATATTTGAATAATTTGACATGTTTGATGGCAATGGCAAAGCCTCATGGAACGGAACATTTCATCCGCCACCTCATGAAATTATTCTCACTATTGCGTTAATGTGAAACATTCAGTATTCGTATAAGAACTCTAAACGAAGTTCCAGTGACAAGTGTGGATATCCAATTTCATGGTCCATTTGCTCAACAGATCTTTCCAGATCTTTTGTTGAGATATAAGTATTGTGAAGGAGTTGAAAGTACATAAAACCTCTGAAGAGCCTGCTCACACCAAAGCACAATGACACATCGTTGCAGTGGCAAGATGTGACTGACTCATGCTGCCCCCACTCCACTAGAAGGATTCCGAGTTAGGAGAATCAAACTCAGACAAAGCTCTTCTTTTCTGGATTTTTTTATCTGTTTGTTTTTTTTATCTTGTGTTAACAGGCTTGAGGGGCTAGTGGTTTGACGTGTGTGATCTTTTGGCGATCTTAATTCTTATCTTTCTGTGTATGATATTAGAAGCGATCATCTTCAAGAAATGTGATCTTTGAATTGTAGTGAGACTACTCAGATCAGGTTTTGTGTTACCACTCTGCAAACTTTGAATCGCAAAAAATAACCATAGCAAAGCCCAGAACGCTAAGCAATATTTCATGCTTCAGTGCTCAAAAGCAGCAAACCCCAGTTTGTTGTGTTTCATTACGGATTACCAGTAATTGTTGAAGGGATTAAACAGGTAAGCTGAGAAAGATGTTGACATGTCAACAAAGCGGGAGTGGAAATCTGGCCTCTCTCTCTAGTGGAGTGTTTTCCTCGGGTGTGGTACTTCACCAGAAGCCTTCTCGTCTGCATGACAGCCAGTCATACCCAGTCCAAATGCAGAGAATCCTGAGAGCCATCGTGCCCAGTATTTGCCCGCCAAAAAGCTGCTTGAAACAAAACTGACTTAAACTTATGTACAAGTACTTGTTTTGTGTCCATCCTCCTTCAAATACTTGGTCAGACTTTTGCACGTTTGCGACCGCTTGATCTGCCAGGCAGTGCTGCCCGAGAAATGGGAATCTTACAGTTGGTGTGGCATGGACTGTAACGTTCCACATTCGCATTTTGTGCCCCATCCGCATAGCCCCAACTGCTTATGTTAGTCTTGCATCAATCAATTCCTGTGGGAAGCCTATTGAGGGATTTCCAGGTTTTCCAGTCACACCTGCAACCAGGTGATAGCTGCTCCTTGATTGGGATTGATACAGCTTTTTGTGATGGCAGTTTCACTGAAACAACCTTTTTGTACTGTACATGTGTATATACAGAGAGAAATCCATTCATGTACATTGTACATGGAATAAAGAGAAGATGGGATGAGTGTGTGACAGGTTCGAATCCAGCCCATTCTGATGAGTTCCACGTTTTTCCTGATACCACTCGGTGTGTGTGTAATTGGGTAAGCCTTCTCCGGATGAAGCAGATAATTTCTTTTGTTAGGCAAATTAGAACCGAGTTCTGTGCCCGTAAACATTTCGTTCCCCACAAAATGGGTAAAATATCATGCGCTTGTCCCCACAACTACAGAAATACATGTGTGCGTATATATTTACCTTACATGTTGAACAAAGCTCTGTGGTGAGGTGATAGTCCGTGCTCGGGAAACATGCGTACAAATCTTGAGGGGATCCCTTCATGAAATGGGTATCAGCAATAGAAGGACAGCGAGACTGAACATGCATGTTGAAGGTGTCTGCAAATGTGTGTGTGTTATATTGTGTTGAGCCATTGCTGTGAAAGTTTGCATGTAAGCACCAATTTGAGTTATGGAAAGTTCCTAGGCACAGGAAATTGAACGTTTTGTATGCACGGCAGCCTAGTTAAGTACACTGTAACCCAAAACCGTTCTACACATGGTACAGCGATGTGCATATGTTGAATGCATTGTCCAACAATTGTGAGACTAACTACAGGAATGCAATCTGCCTGCTCATTTTACATGACGCCCTGCCCCTCCAACCCACCCCTTCTCGAGTTTCATTGGCCTGATACGCAGCATTGTATTACATCGACATACATGTACATGTACATGCAGCAGACGGTGATTGATACAAAGTATTGCCGACACATTTCTCGATACACCATCCTTTATCAAGACGGAGTAGTCTCATCAATTACCGTCCCCTCTGCAAAGTGATACCCCGGGCTTGGGTAAATACGGCACACCGAATTTGATCGAGTGCAGTTCTCTGTCAGGCTTGTGCTGAATGCGGACGCGAGCATTCTACCATACCGTATGTTTCATCAAGTGTTGGGTTTCAGTCTGATTCATTTGGTGTATGTGCAGTTGGCATTGCTCTTGTGTGTTGTTTGCGGATTGAATTCCAGTAATACTCATATATCCAGTGGGATGTAAAATCATAAAAGGTTTGGCAGTGGTTGTGGAATATGTTTCTCAGACATGTAGAGTGTGGTTTTTTTTGGGGGGGGGCAAGTTTTATATTTTCATGTGATGAAATTCCTGGAACCTGAGGACTGAAGGAGATAGATTTCCCAAAGTTCGTCATTACGATTGAATACTTTGCATCCTTCAAATGGGAAAAAATAGGACAGTCTGTTTACCAAATGCATGCTCAGTGCCGACTGAAAGGTCAAAGGTCAGTCATGATCAGTGTTGTTGTGGAGACCATCACAAGAGCAGACGCAAGACCACGCACACGACCACGCACAAGACCAGCCACAAGCAACAGTGTGAACAATGACAAAGGAATTCTTTTGTTGCATTTCAGTTGAATAGCTTGTAACTGGAATTCAGATTGGAGGTCTTGTGTGGTCTTGTGAAGGTCCTAATATTGGTCTCGACTGCAACACTGGTCATGATTTGTGCGAGTCCCTGTTGTCAGTCAGTTGCCATTTTTGCCAAATGGTGAATATTGACAAATTTTGGAGAGGGTTTGGCCAGAAGGAAGAGAAAATTGGACCAGCAACTGCATGAAGACATTTGGGTTCCAAATATCCATTTTGTAGCGAAAACTGTGACTGTTCTTTACGTGTACATGTACCGGTAGGTAAAATGTGCCCACTGGAACCCTGTTCGGTTATACACTAGTCTGCCCACTCTGGCAGAGCAAAGCCGTACCAGCAGATCTACTCCAGGGGCAATTGGGGCCACCACCCCCTCACTTTCACCCTGAGTTTTCCGAATATTTGAATTTCAACTTTTTGAAAAGCTGAATTAGTTATAACAACAGGCTTTAAGATAAGGGGAATTTCACTCAAAACCCAAATGATTTGGGGCTTCGATGGTAATAATTTGTGACTCATCAAGATGTATATCTTTATGTGCCAAGTAACAGGCCATTGCGGTGTGTTGATGCCAAAATATCACATATCTGAATGACAATACAACATTTGGACAAAAAGGTGCATGGCGCATTTCTCGAGCAAAAAGGTCATACGTTAATCTTGTTCCTCACAAAGATCATTTTTGTAAAATGAATCAAGATGCCGAAGCCTACATTTGGAACACGGGCGTGTGAGAATTCAACTTTTAACCTGATTTCAGTTTTTTTGGGGGGTGTAGATGTTGACCCAGAATTTCAGCTGTTTTGTACACCTGGTCTGTACAACAGTTCGGGAACTTGTTACATTTCAGCTTTCTGCTGGCTGCTTTCAGCTTTAATTTTAAGTGGCCACTCACACCACTGACTGAACAGAAAAAAATGTGCATATAAATGGAATTATCTACCTGAAGTTTCATTTTCCTGTTGTGCTCAGCACAAAAATTTACTGGAAGGCAGCAAATGATGTTTTAAAATGTTACACTTGAACCAAAGCAAAGGCTGAAGGAGGTCATTTTGATGACTGACATTTCCTCTCCCCACTGTAAGTTTGCTTTCTTCTAAGGAATCAAAGCAAAAACTTTGTCGGCAGAGAGCTTTGAAGGTTGTAGAATGCTTGCCTTGTTTATGTTAAATGGTATGGTTTACCAGATTGTAGCTGATAACTCTTTAGCCGGGCTTTCAGTGTTCTAGCCCCGGTACTGTAAATTTCCGCCCTGCTCTTGGGTTCGGTGCTGCCCAGCACGGATTTTCAAAAAAATTAACTGAAGTATTGCTGAAAACGAACCAAATTGATCATATTTCAAGCTTACAAAGTCACAGTTTTGTGCTATTT